GGACTACGTCAGACTAGGGATTTACCATTAGGCAATACTAGTCAATTGCCTAGGGCCCTAAGTTTCTAAGGTTCCCATCAAATTCTGTAAAACTCTTTTTACATGTATGGTTAATACAACTATTCAATCATTTTGCTAAAATGTCATAAAAAAGCTTATAATATTTTTTTCTTTTTATATATTAGGGCAAGTGGGCGTTTCTTGTTCCAAGTATTTCACTAAGTGTCCTAGGGTAAGGGTTAAGATGCATATTTGCTTCCACCACACCTAACCAATATGAGCTTGACTGCTGCTAAGGAGGTTATTTAGCTCTTTGATTCAGGTGTTTGGGGCAAGCGACACCTCTTAATGCTAACAAACACTTTGTCATTGTTTTGGTTCTGTTAAAGTTTTATCTTTGAGTTTTCATTGTTTTTATTTCCATTTTGTATTATTCTAGTTATTTTTGATTGTATCTGAGTTCTTAGATATTTCTTGTTAGCCCTCTCTTGCCCTCTTGTGTCAGTCTCCGTCTCCTAGCTCCCTTCTAGACTATTCTGTTCACACCTGCTTCCAATCTGCTAATTAGCCTGGTCTTTGTTTCTCTCTCCCATATATGCACCTCTTGCCCAATCACTGTGGCTGGTTTGTTGTCATTCTTTGTCCCCTTGTTGTGAATATTTCCTGGTTTTCAGTATTTTTGAATTTTTGTTTCCGTTACCCTTTTTTTGTTATTAGATCTGCAAGAAACAACCTTCAGCTTCAGTCTCTGCATTTGGGTCATCCTTCAAGCCTCCACCCTACTGTGATGTAATCTGCAGGTTTTCAGTTAAAATCCACTGGTTGAAAAACATTATGCAGGGTTATCTTTTTGTATTGTCTGAATTCACACTAAATGTAATTTTACCAAAAAGCTGGTGATCAGTAGCATTATGAGGTAAATAAGTGGTTGTTTCAAAGACTAAAAAAGAGACTAGATAGAAAACTATATATCGTGGTTTTATTCTGCTTTGCAGTCCAAGGCGGAAACCTTTGGAATACCTTTTTGCATACATCACACATTTGCTCAGGGCTCACCAGCTGGCGAACTATGGTTCAGGTCCGGACTCCAAGATGCCTTTACCTGGACTTCTGAACATTTTATGTGGTAAAATGATTCTTGGTGGGTTCACTCAAATGAGAATTTTTATCAGGCACAGCTTTGACAGCCCAGCTGTGGCTCTCTAGAGGCTCTCCACAACCAGTTCCAATCATGTTAAACCTACTGTTTGTTCGCACTGGAAGTGGGTGAGACAGAAGCTAGCCATTTACACTACCCTTTTGAAACCATTTCGAGAACCGTCCGAGCACGGTAACCCAGATAACTATTGAGTGCAAAGCGAACGCAACTGAACTGGACCATGCCAGACACAATGCAACCTGGCTTAATCTAGAACTAGTTCAACAGTAGGGTTCGGCACCATTCATCTGTGGCTCGGTTCTCTGATAACGAACGCATCAGCAGACCGCATCATCTCCTATTTACAGCCAGGTGGCTCATTCTGTGGGTTTTCAGGTTTTGCAATTCAAATGTCTCTTCACCTGTTCACAACACGAACTTCTGCTCAGCTTATTAACAATAAATGTCATCAAAAGAGCATGGTGTGAACCAGTGGTGGCCGGCCCATAGGGGGCGCTGGGGCACCGCCCTCCCTGATAAGAAGAGAGAAACGTAATATATATTTTTACAAATTAACTCATAAATGTCAGTTTTACTCTCTAGA